CTTTGCAGAACAATAAATAGGCTGGTATCATTTCCTTTGCCTCTGCCCCTTCAAATAACAGACTTGTACTATTTTGGAAATTTGTGTAATTTACTCAGCATGCTCATTTGCCACTCTTCCAATGAGGGAAGGACTGTAATTGGAATAGACACTCTGAAGTGTCAAAAAGCACTAAAAAATAATGCAGCAGTTCAGAGTATGTCTCCAGTGATGCACTAGAAGAGAAGCAGACAATGCCAAGCAGTCATTGGAAAATAACGTGTACGAATCCATTTACACAGTTTGGCATTCAGACTCTATATTAAATAGCATCACTAGTTATTTTTCTATTTCCTGCATCATCTTCATCAAACATTACTGTTAATAGGTTAGCCAAAGCTTCATCTCCCATTCAAGGCCCCAAGCACTGCTACACACCTCAAGCTTGCCTCTAAAGTCTTACACAGCACAGAAGTGAGAAAGTTCAAATGCCAGGATCTGTCAGATCACATACATTTCAGTGCAAGAATAAAGCACAAAATCAGAAGCGCTAAGCTCTTTTCTAGTCCTATCTGAAGGCCACATGATTTCCTGTATCAAAGCAGAAGTGTCACCAAAAGGTCACTATTCAAGTATTACTTGTAGGACAGGAGGTACAACATGCTGCAGACATGTGGCAAGGACAACTGAGGGCTACCAAGAGGCCAAGAAATACTCACCTTACCTTCAGAACTGGTCAGCTTGACCACCAGGGAAGTAAAGCAAGCAAAAAAACTGGCTCCAGCTGTAATGTTTTAAAGGGAAGGCAGACAATCCCTCATTCCCTCTGCACTTTGCTATCTGCCATCACATCACACCTACAAGAGGTTCAGAAACCTGCCCCACCTCCAACACCCCCCGCCCCCCTCTGCCCATTCTGGGCTGAATTTATACTGCAATAAGCTGAAATTCAAACACGTCACACTTACCCCAAAAGCCTGTGCTCCAGTCTGTGGGTTTCCAGTATATAGAGTTTTAACCACCAAATCTGAGCATCTAAGAAGCCTTTATAAAATCTACTGGGCCACTACCAACCCCACCCCCCCATCTCCCTAACACTCCAAAAGGCTATTTAGTACAAAAACTGGAAACTGCAATTTGCATTACATATCCTGCTAGGCAGGAACCACCCCTAAATTAAATACAGTGGGACTTCAGCCCTGACAGTACAAGGTGTTTCCCTATAACCACACTGATTAAACAGTTCGCAGGCACCAGACCTCCAAGTCCTTTTTAGCACACGTCACACTGCACAACATAAAGCAGCAGGCAATTGGCCAAAAATGGTTAGCAAAAAGGATTCCTTAAACCTCCAGCATCCAAATATAGCCCTAGCTGGTCACATGGGCTGCCATACAGTAAGTGCTCCTCACTTTACCTACCCTTTGATTAAACGTTTTGAGCTAAAAAGCATGTACTTAGTACAGCATTTCAGTTTCCAGCCCAATTCCATGAACCGTATAATCTTGCTGTACCTTCCACATTCAGACTGGCAGAAAGGAAAGGTTGATTCAGGCTTCTAGTGAGCCCAAGGGGGATGATTAGCTAGAAGAAGCTAACAGAATATGAGACCTCTAACATACACACACATTTATATGTGTGTATATGTATATAAAAATATAAAAAATTAAAGCAACATATCTGCCATACAATGCAGCTGCTGTAAAATACTTCATTATTAACATACTCTATGGCACATACTGATCTTTAAATACATTGTCATACCTTATTCATCTGGCCTATAGCAATGTTTTTTCATATTACTCTTATTATGATGAAAGCAGACCAGCTGATTACATCCACCTCACAAGAACTCCACAGCATAGTTTACACATCAAGAAACTCTGCAAAATTTCTGAAGAAAGGCAGGCCAGCTACCGTACCGTTGCCAGGTGTCAACTTGAACAGAAGAAAGTTGAACTTGGCCCTTCTTTTCTCAGCCCTCAGAGCCACTATACAAGTTAAGTATTGTGCAGGTGTCAAATAAGTTTACATTATAAAACCTTGCAACTGCACTAATAAATATAACTGTCACTTTTTCTTCCAAAGCCTTCCCCCCACTATCAGTGAGGATGAAGCCTTGCAGTACTCACTAACAACAAACCTTGTGATCTTTGAGTATGCAGAGGCTTGAAGTTGTAGCTATTTCTCAACTGCAGCTGGAAGTCTGAGGTTCCTAAACAGGAAAACAGCCCAGCACCAGAGGCAAGGCCTAAACCCTGAGTTAGCACACTTACTGCATTGTGTTACAGCAGGGCTTGGTGGCACAGATTTTTCCTAGAAGCATGGAGACTTTTATCAAGCTCAAGTCCCCATTTAAGCTATCAGATTCTGTTACAGGCTTAGAAGAAAGCACAATGAGGCACAGCATCGAGCACGTTCACATACCCACCACCACCGGCTCAGCTGCACCAGTTAGTTTCACATTTATGCCGGCAGCCAGGCCGGCCTGACTGCACTGAAATAACCCTCAGCACCCAGATGTTGTGTTATTTTTACCCTGGAAAAGAAAGAAAGGACACCCAACAAAACTTCAGAGCGGGAGGCCACGACAGCACAGACTTTATTCCGAGGCTGCGGCGCAGGTTTCGGCGCTCGGCAGCGCCCGGGCTCGCCATCCCCGCAGTGACGTGTCCACCTGAGGCTCCGGGGCCGCCGCCGCCGCCGGAGACAAAGTTCTGTAGTGCACTGACTGCTATAGTACCCAGAGTCGGAGTGTCACAGAACTTTGCTTCCGGAGGCTCCAGTCCTCGGCCGGTACCGGCGCCGGGGCCGCCCGCCAGCACAAGTTTCCCTGCCTGGGGAGGGAAGGCGCACACGGTTAGAGGTGGGGAAGGGAGCCCCCTCCTCCTCCGCGGCTCGGCGGGAGACCCGCTGCCCGAGGAAGAGGGAGAAGGAGGCGAAGACATTTGTTTTCCTTTTTTTCTTTTTTATAAATACCCAAAATGCATCCCCCACACACACACACCGCCCCCAACCCGGAGCTAACGGGCCGCCCTGCGAAAG